TGAGTATTGGACTGCATGTTACATCAAAACATGGAATTTTACAAAGTAAGACGTTTTTAAGACGTGAAAACCGGGAATCTATAAGTTACCAATAATCTCGATCTTTTTGTCTCAGTTGTAGATAAGAAAAAAACAAATCGTGTCAGGCAAATCTTGATATTTTTTTAAAAGAGGAATTTTTAAAAAAAAAAAACTCATCACCACCAGGTATGTCCACCTGTATTGGAGCTATGATTTACGTGAACATCACACCAAATGGAGACTATGCGCTTGTAGTTCCCGTTGTCATAATAGTATACATTACTTCGTGAAGCTGTAATAAGGAGCCAGCATCGGGGAAGACTTCGTCATGAACAAAGTTTTTGCTATAGCTGTGTTCGGATCGATGATAACTATCGGCTTGGTAGTATATTTTACTAATTATGACTGACTTTCGACTGTGAATATCCTGGGAGGTAATGATTCCAAACAGGGCTTTTAATCTCTAAATCCCTAGCTTTTGTGTTCAAGCGTCATAAGACCTAGAGCTAAATCAAATTCAAGTGATAAAATAACAATAAAATCAAATGATATATTCTAGACCCTTCGCTCCACGGAGAGTAGAGATACTACTGCCAATTGTTTTAACGGAAGTGTACTTTAATTTTAACACTTCTGTCTGAATTTGCGTCGCGTCAGAAGGTCCTTGAAGCTGAAATGGTACTTTCCGTTTGTTGTTTAGCACAAAATAACGAAATAAAGAGCACGAAGGCCTCGCAAATTATTACCAGAGATGATGCAAACACGAGAAATTAGAAAAGTCGAATAGCTCAAATTGTTCTTCTTATCTGTAGTGATTTGGATTGGATTGCTTTCGATGATAACTTCATTGAAAACAAACCAGAGGTCGACGAAAGTGATAGCGAGGATGCTAATGATAATGAAGAGGACCCCAGATTTCCACGTCCACTGTGCCTTCGTCGTAGTCGATGCTGTCGCCGCCGTAAAATCTCACGCAGTGGCCGCACTAAGAAGTGATGCAGCTTAAGCATTCAAATTAAATTCTAACAAGAATGCAGGTACACGTACAAATGTAATCCCTTGTTTCTTCCGCGGAGTTTTTGTTGGCTGAGAATTGACTACCTTAAATGAACTCTAGTAAGTGGAGAACATCGTTTTTGGTTCTCTTTCGTGCTGATATTTTGCACAAAAACAGCGTCGAAAACGAGAAAGCGTTAAATTCTACTCCAACTCGGCAGTGATGCACGATTAGTAACCGAGTCCTTCCGGCACTACTTGCCAGAACGAATCAAAACTGATCATACATCATTCAAAATCCTAATGTCGAAAAAACGATATATCAGAGAGATCTACACCATGCTACAGTTAATGCTGGGTTCAGTGTCTATTGGGTGCTTTTACAAAAAATGTTTAACAGTTCCTTCGCGATATAAAAATCTGGAAAGTTAATCGCTTTGTCGTTTTCCCCTGTATTAATGTTTATCTATTCTTTCTTTGTTCTCTTTTTTTAACAGAATAAAAACGATAAGAGAATATCTTGCAGGGTATAATAAGGGTAGCTCACTTTTAGACTGACGCGGAGCCTTCAAAAATATTTAAGCAGTAATAGTTACGGTAGAGTAACTAATAGTCAGGAATCAAGATAACTTTCATGATAATAAATATACTGTCAAATGTAAAACTCTGAGAGGCCCTGATTTTCGCGTCAATAAAGTGCGTTTTTCATCGTAATCATATGGAAAAACCTAATTTACTTATATTATATTTCATCTCTCGGCCACTGGCATCGAAGAACGGGCTCTGAGCGGTTGCTCCACAGAGCTTTCGCGACTCAAAATATTAAGTATTGTCTTCCTTTCGTCGTCGATATAGTCTTTATTGCAG